GAACATAAATGCATCATCCATGGACATGAACAATGGTGTGAGGATTGACTGTGGGAAAGAGGAGCTGGGGGGAGGGGGGCAAAGAGGGAAAATTGGGACAACTGTAATAACATAAATGATAAAAAAAAAACCTATATAGTCACATTTTATGTACTTTCTTATATGTGTGACATAGTTGACAATTTTTTAATTTTAATGAAATGGATACATATGTGCTGTTATGGAAAGAGCTCCAAGAAATATTAAGTGAAAAAAGCAAAACTGTATGTGTAGCATAATGGTATATGCATAAAGATTTTTTTTTTTACCCTGACTGGTGTGGCTCAGTTCGTTAGATGTCATCCTATAAAGCAAAAGATTGCCAGTTTGATTCCGGTCAGGGCACATGACTAAGTTGAGGGTCCCATCCCTAGTAGGGGCATGTATTAAGAAGACAACCAGTCAGTGTTTCTCCTTCACATCGATGTTTCTCTACCCCTCTTTCTCCCTCCCTTACCCTCTCTCCAAAAATAAGTAACTGAAATATTAAAAACAAAAAGCAAAAAAACCCACCCTGGCTAGTGTGGCTCAGTGGATTAAGCCTATGAATGGAAAGAAAGGTTGCTGGTTCAATCCCCAGTCAGGGCGCATTCCTGAACTGGGGTTGGGGAGGGTCAGGGAGGACGGGGGTGAGGGGGAGGCACATGAGAGGCAACCGACTGGTGGTGTCTCTCTCACACACATGAACACACTGATGCTTCTCTCACTCTCTCCCTCCCTTCCCCTCTCTCTAAAAATAAATAAAATCTTTAAAAAAGAACTTTTTTTCTGAAACAAAACAAAAAAAATGCACACTGACTGAAAGGTATACCTCATTGTATACCTTTCTATACCGTTTTGTTTTCAAACAGTTTTTATTCTGTTTTGATTTTTCTAACATGTATATAACTTTTCAATATATCTGTGTGTGGTAGAATTGATTGGCTATTTTTTAAAAATACTTTTACATGTAAAAAAAACTATTTTCACAAAAATCCTAATTAAAAACTGATGAGGAAATTCAAAAAAATAATCAAATACCCAATAGAGGTATGAAAGAATTCTCAATCTTCCTGATTATTAAAAATATACAACTTTCTTAATTAATGAAATAGGAAAAAATTTAAAGAGTGAAACAGTCTTGGCAAGGGGACAAACGAGGAATATACTGCTAATAAGAATATAAATAAGATTACATACACTAAAATGTGAAGGTTCTGATACAGTGTATGATTAAAATTCTAAACTGAGCTTGCAGGTATTATGGTCATAAATTTTTAAGCAATTGAGTACAAACATCAAAAATCTGAATTCTTTAAAAGACAGTGGGAGTGAGCTAAGTGAAATGTAGAAAGAAAAAGCTGAAGGCAGAGAACCAAGTTCATAGTCTGTTGCAAGAATTCGAGTAACAGATAGTTAAGAAAAGAAGTGGAGCAACGAGAGTAAACGAATGCCCAGGAATAAACTTAGCAAAGGATGTGAAAAACCAGTACTGAAAACTACATTTGGAGAAACTGAAGACACCAGAGATGAAAAGACATTCCATGGTCATAGGCTAGAAGAATCAACATAATTAAAATGGCATACTACCCGAGGCCACATACAGAGTCAATGCAATCCCCATCAAAATCCCAGTGGCATTTTTCAAACAAATAGAATTTAAAAATTGTCAAATTTATATGAAACCACAAAAGACCCCAAATAGCCAAAACAACCCTTACAAAAAGAACAAAGTGGAAAGTATCACACTCCTGATTTCTAATCATACTAAAAAGCTACAATAACCGAAACAATATGGTATTGGCAGAAAAATAGACACAGAGACCAATGAAGCAGAATTGAGAGCCCAGAAATAAACCCACGTGTAATGGGCAACTAATTTTCAAAAAAAGAGCCAAAACATACACAATGAGGAAAAGAATAAGAAAAATTGTAGTACCTTGACTAAGTATTCATTATACTTAAATTTAAAAAGACAATAAAATACTTCAACAAAAAGCCTCTTTAATAAATGGTGCTGAAAAAATTGGAAAGCTACATGCAAAAGGATGAAAACTACACTATCTGACACCCTATACAAAAAATTAACTCAAAATGATCAATAAACTAAATATAAGACCTGAAGCAATTAAATACCTAGAAGAAAACATATGTACTAAACTTACGAACCTTGGTCTCAGAGACGATTTTACAAATTTGACCCCAAAAGCAAGGAAAGTAAAAGCAAAAATAAATGAATTGAACTATAACAAACTAAACGGCTTCTACACAGCAAAGGAAACCAACAACAAAACAAAAAGAAAACCAACTAAATGGGAGAAGATATTTGAAAACAATACTTCCAATAAGGGGCTAACATCCAAAATATATAAAGAACTTACACAATGCAACAGAAAAACAAACAACCCAATTAAAATAAGGGCCAAGGACCTGAACAGACTTTTTGCAAGAAAACAAACGGCCAATGAATACATGAAAGGATGCTCAACTTCACTAACCATAAAGAAAATACAAATCAAAACCACAGTGAGGTACTACCTGTCAGAATGCCTATTATCAACAAGATGAGAAATAACAAGTATTGGAGAGGACATGAAGAAAAAGAAATCCTCATACACTGCTGGCAGGAATATAAACTGGTACGGTCACTATGGAGAAGAGTATGGAGGGTCCTCAAAAATTGAGAATATAGCTACCATATGACCCAGCAATCCCTCTTCTGAGTATTACCCCCCAAAATTAAAAACATTTATTCATAAAGATGTATGTACCCCTATGTTCACTGCAGCATTATTCACAGTAGTCAAGACATGGAAACAACCCAAGTGTCCTTCAACGGATACTTGGATAAAGACATAGTACATAACTACTCAGCCATTAAAAAAAAAAAAAGATGAAGCACTGTCATATGAAATAACACAGATGGATCTTGAGAGTATAGGGCCAGCACAGGGGCCTGGGCCCCGGATCCCAAGGACACCAGAAGGCCAGAAGAAATACCCAAAAAGCCCACTACCCCTCCAATCCCTGCTTGAAAAATATTGCAGAATTTTATCTCCCTTCTAACCAGTTGCTTCTCCAACCCTCATGTGGAAAATTTCCACTCTCCATTCAAAGTCTGTGTGAGCCTCCCCCTCAAACTATTTTTGGAGAGCAGCCCGAAACCTCATTTCTCTCAGGACTGTCTCCCTTGTGCTCAAGCATAAGCTTAAGAAAATCTGTCTAAAAATTTCTCTGGGGTTTCCTCTTGATCTGTCTTGCAGAACCCAAACACCCTAATGCCAGTAACAGTGTAAGTCAGAAAAAGAAAAGCAGCAAATGATTTCACCCATTTGTGGGACATAAAACTAAAAGAAGCAAATGAATGAACAAACCAACCAAACAAACAAAAACAGCTCTTGACACAGACAACAGTATGGTGGTTACTGGAGGGGAATGGGGGAAGGCGGAGGTTAAAAAGGATAAAGAGGGTCAAATATACGGTGATGGGAGGAGACTAGACGCTGGGTGATGAGCACACAACGCAATATATAGATGATGTATTACAATATTTTACACTTGAAACTTGTATGTTCTTCTTAACCAATGTCACTCCAACAATTTTTTAAAAGAACTAGAAATGAAAGAGAAGACACATCTGTGTGTCATTTAGGAGGCAAAAACTAAAGGATGTGGTAAACGATTAGGTATAAAAGGGGAGAAAGAGGGAAAAGTTAAAGATAACTCTGAGCTTTGTAACTAGAGACAAATGTGTAACTCTACCATCCAATAAAGTAGAAGATAAAGGAAAAAGATAAGTTGGACAGAAAAAATGATTTGATTTACTGCCTTATTGGATATGACCTACAAGGTGAAATCTGCAATAAACAAATGGAAATAGGAAACAAAAAAGAGACATTAAAGAGAACACGATTTGATAAAGCCGCTACAATCGACAGGTGAACGGATAAAGAAGATGTGGTATATGCCCTGACCAGGTTGCTCAGTTGGTTGGAGCGTCATCCCATACACCAAAAGGTTGCAGTTTGATCACCGATCAAGGCATATACCTATGTTTTAGGTTCGATCCCCCATCAGGGTGTGTACAGGAGGCAACCAGTTCATGTTTCTCTCTCAAGTCAATGTTCTCCCCCACCCCCATTCCTCTCTCTCTAAAATCAATAAAAACATATTCTCAGGTGAGGCTTAAAAAAATAAGAAAAAGATGTGATATATACATAAAATAGTATCCAGCAATAAATAATGAAATCTTTCCATCTGAGACAACATGGATGACCTAAAGGGTATTATGCCTAGTGAAGTCGGTCAGAGAGAGACAAACATTATATTTCACTCATGTGAAATCTAAAGAAACAAAACAAAAAACAAGAACAAACAAAGCAGCAACAGACCCATAAATATATAATACCTTCAGATGGTTGACAAAGGGAGGAGTAAGAGAAGCGTGGGCACTAAAAAAAGGTTTTGACAATGAGGAAAATGTTCTGCTGTTTCATACAGCAGATACTAGACTCATGCGGCTTTGATCACTTGAAATGTAACTAGAACAACAAAGGAACTGATTTTTACTATTATTTAACTTTAAATAGCTACAGGTGGCTAGTTGCTACCACACTGGAGGAGAGTATATCTAAAGAGTTAAAGAGAATTTCCATCTCCTTTCTCTCACTCTCCAGACACACAAAAATTAAGATTTACATTTGATCTAGATTATTCAGGTAGTTTTAAAATACCATCAAAACTGGGGAACCATGGTCCATTCTCAGCCAAACAGTACAATTACTTTCTTTTACATAATTCTCAATTCCATTTACAAATCAAAATGAAGCTGAGTAAAAATTGCATGGACCGGCAAGCTGGCATTAAGGTGTAGTTGCGACACAAACCAGTCTTGAATACTAAGGGCTAGTTTGAGACCTAGAGTTCTACTCTTCAAAATACTGACCTCTCCATCACTATCGGATATCACAATGAATACTGACCTCTCCATCACTATCGGATATCACAATGAATGCATCCTCAAGTTTACGCTTCCTCTTCACGTTGACCGAACTGGCAGTTTCTGCATCTTTCTTCTCCAGGTTCTGAGCTTCAGAAGCTTCTTTAACTTTTTTCTTTCTCCGTGGCATCCTTCTTTCTAAAATACAAGGACAAATAACTCACTCGAAGTATATGTTTTCTAGATGCTATTTGTAATTTACACATATAAAAGATATCCATCTAACAGAAGTAAAACTGGATTTCTGAATTTTTCCACTTCTCTACAGAAATTTCTATAGGAACAAAATAATAATCTGTCCTAATTCCTTAAACATTGAGTTAAATAATTGGTTTTCTTAACTGTATATTATAATTTACCTAAAAGATTTTTTTCAATACCAATGCCTCAACCTGATCAAAGGGCATCTCCAAAAATCCCACAGCTAATATCATACTTAAAGATAAAAGACTAAATGTTTTCTACTTAAGGCAGGAACAAGATAAGAATGTCTGCTTTTATCATTTCTATTTAACATTATACTGAAGACTCTAGGCAGGCCAAAATTTTTCAAAAAGAAATAAAAGACATCCAAATTGGAAAGAAAAAAGTAAAACTACCATCATTTGGAGATGATATAATTTTGTAATTTAAAAAAATGAAATACACACAAAAAATTGTAACTAATGAACAAATCCAGCAAGATCACAGGATATAGGGTCAATACACAAAAATCACTCATACTGCTGCTATCCACTAGCAATAAATAATCCAAAAATAAAATCTAAAATTTCAATTTCTAATAGCTTAGGAATAAATTTAACAAAGGAAGCAGATTTGCAACTGAAAACTTAAAATACCATTGAAAGAAATTAAAGACTGTCTTGGCTGGGTAGGTTAGCTGGTTAGTCCTGTACACCTGCAGGTTTGATCCCCAGTCAGGGCATATACCTAAGTTGTGGGTTCGATCTCCAGTCTGGATGCGTAAAGCAGGCAACCCATCAATATTTCTCTCTCACATCAATGTTTTTTTTCCTCTCTCTCTCCCCTCCTCTCTCTAAAATCAATAAATAGCCCTGGCTGGTGGCTCAGTGGATTGAGTGCCAACCTGCAAACCAAAGGATCACCAGTTCCATTCCCAGTCAGGACACATGCCTGGATTGCTGGCCAGGTCCTCAGCTCAGGGTACTCAAGAGGCAACCACACATTGACGTTTCTCTCCCTCTCTTTCTCCCTCCCTTCCCCTCTCTAAAAATAAATATATAAAATATTTTTTAAAAAAATAACATCAATAAACATATCCTTGGGTGAGGACTAAAACAATTTTTTTAATTTAAAAAAATTAAAGAAGCCCTGGGTGGTGTAGCTCAGTGGATTGAGCACAGGCCTGTGAACGAAAGGGTCACCAGTTCGATTCCCAGTCAGGGCACATGCCTGGGTTGCAAGCCAGGCCCCCAGTAGAGGACACATGAGAGGCAGCCACACACTGATATTCTCTCTCCCACTCCTTCTCCTTCCCTTCCCCTCTCTCTAAAAATAAATAAATAAAACATTAAAAAATTTAAAGAAGATCTAACTAAGTGCAAAGACATCCACTGTTCATGAATTGGAAGACTTGATACTGTTAAGACAATATTCCCCAAATTGCCCCAAAGGTGCAATGTAATTCCTAATAAAATCTGTTAACATTGTTGTGGAAATAGACAAGCTTATCCTAAAACTCACATGGGAACCGAAAAGTCCCAGAATAGCCAAACCAATCTTGAAATAACAGAACAAATCTGAAGGACACAGACATCTCAATTTCAACAAGGTGCTGAGGTAATTCAATGGGAAAAATATAGTCTTTCCAACAAATGCAGATATCCCATGTAAAAAAATGAGACTGGACCTCTATCTAACACATACAAAAAGTCGTTAAGAAATGGATTTAGGTTCTTAAGTGAAACACAGCATAGAACTTTGGGATCTTGAATAAGGAATGGTTTGTTAAATATATGGCGTCAAAGCATAAGCAGTCTTGGCTAAGTGGACTGGAGCGTCATCCCATACACCAAAAGGCTGCAGGTTTGATACCCTGCCAGAGCACATACCTAGGTGGCAGGTTCAATCCCCAGTCAGGGCGCCTATGGGAGGCAACCAATCCATGTTTCCCTCTCTCTCCCTCGCTCTGTCTTTCCCTTCCCTTCCCCTCTCTCTAAAATCAGTAAAAAACACATTCTCAGGTGAGAATTAAGAAAAAAAAAGCATAAGCAACAAAAGAAAGAATAAACCAGACTTCATTTAAATCAAAAACCTTTGTGCTTTAAACTATAGTATCAAGAAACTGAAAGAAAAAAAGAATGGAAGAAACATTTGTAAATCATCTATGTAATAAAGTAATTGTAGCTGAAATACATAAAGAATTCTTGTAACTCAATGGTAAAGAGGCAAATAAACTAGCATAAAAATGGGCGAAAAACCCTGATCTGGTGTGACATTACTCAGTCAGGCATTGTCGCTGGGCACAAAGCAAAAGGTCACTGGTTTGATTCCTGGTCAGGGGACATGCCTGGGTTGCAGGTTCGATCTCCAGTTCAGGTACATACAAGAGGCAACTGATGGAAACACTGGTGTTTCTCTCCCTCTCTCCCTCCCTTCCCCTCTCTCTAAAAATAAATAAATAAAAATCTATTTTTAAAAATATCAGCAAAGAGCCCCAGCTGGTATGGCTCTGCTGGTTGGGAGTCATCTCCCAAGTTGAAAGAAAGGTCACAGCTGATTCCTGGTAGGGACACAGGCCTGGGCTGTGGTTAGTTCCCAGGTCAGGACACGTAGGGTAGGCAACTGATTTCTCACATCAATGTTTCTCTCCCTCTCCTTCTACCTCCCTCCCCCTCTCTCCAAAATAAAATAAATAATAATTTTTTTTAATGGGCAAGAATCTGAATATACATCTCTCCAAAGAAGATATACAAAAGGCCAATAAGCATATGAAAAGATACTCAACATTATCAGTCATTAGGAAAATTCAAAGCCCACTACTATGTCTGTCAAATAAATGGAACATAACACTTGCTGATGAGGATATGGAGAAACTTGAACCCTAGAACAGTGTTGATGGGAACATCAAATGGTGCAGCTGCCGTAAGTATAAAAAAAAGAAATAGTGATACATGCTATAACATGTATGAACTTTGAAAAATACAGGGTCTAGCCCAAATAAGGCCCCCTTTTTACTACATAAACATATTTTATAACAAAATCATAAACATGTAATTCTGTAACATAACAACTTGCACACCATATGACATTTTAGGTGAAATGTTTCAAATTGCTGCCCATCTCGTATGAGACATTCATGTACTGTACCAACCACACTCAATGGCATTACTTCTGCTGGACCCCGTATATTAAGTAAATGAACCAATTACAAAAGCCTAACTCTGTATGACTGCATTTATATGAAACACCCAAAATATGCAAATCAAATCTATAGACAAAAAGCAAATTAAGATTACTAGGGGATGGAAGAGAAGGAAATGTGGAATGAGTGCTTAATGGCTACAAAGTTTCTTTCTGGGGTGATGAAAAATGTTCTGGAATTAGAACATAGTAATAGCTGCGCAACATGTTGAATGTACTAAAAGCCACAAAATTGTATGTTTTAAAATGATTAAAATGTTGGGTTTTATGTTTTGTGAATTTTACCTAAATTAAAAAAAAATACTTCCCCAGATGATTTTACTTTATAACCAGAGCTTAGTCACTGATTTAAATAGAACAACCTTACCTGTGTTACAAACTTCTCAAACAGTTTAAGACGACTGTTACATCTTACCAAAAGGAATCTGCACAGTCCTACCATTCAGGAAGGACAGTAATGTAGCCAGATGCTTCCACTCTGAAGTCCTTCACAAAATCATTTCCCATCATAAAACAGAAGCATAAACACAAATAAATATCTTTTCTAATTTTAAAAAATTTTTTTAATTCAAGTACAGTTGGTATACATTATGTTGATTATCTTAGTTTCAGGTGTACAATATGGTAACTTGACATCTTCATACCTTACAATGTGATTAGCCCTCTAATTCTAGTTATCATCTGTCACCATGCAAACTTATCACAATACTGTTGACCATACTCCCCTTCCTCATTTCACCTGTGACCTCACCCCCTCCCCTCTGGTCACCATCCCTTTGGTCTCTGTTCCTATGAGTCTGTTTTCTTGTTTGTTTGTTTGTTTGTTTGTTTGTTTTTTAGAGAGAGGGGAAGGGAGGGAAAAGAGAGGGAGAGAAACCGACTGGTTGCCTCTTGCACGCATCCTGATGAGGGGACCGAACCCGCAACCCAGGCATGTGCCCTGACTATAAACTGAATCAGCGACCTTTGGTTCCATAGGCTGGCGCTCAGTCCACTGAGCCACACAAGCCAGAGCTCAACGCAGTTTTCAAAGAATCACAGCAGATAAGGGATAGATAAGAAGCACTGTGCAGAGAGAGGTGCCTCACAGGTACAGATTACAAAACTGCAGTGCTTCACGAGATGTAGCCACACGGTTTCCAAAGTAAATTCTAAGAGTAAAAAAGGTCACTGCTCCACCAATTTGAACAAGCCAGCATATAATTCAATTACTATTTAATTCAGTTTTTGCCCTTCGAAATGAAGAACTCACTAAAACAATGGCTTATCTTCAACTACTTGCACTGAAACTACAGAATGAATTACCATTAAGTGTCTGCAAAAGAGGAGCAGAGCCTGGACGCCAAAAGCCTCTTCATAACCATGACAGTTGCAAATACAATGACCCAGAAAAAATACACAAGCAGGAAAGGTGACCCAACACGAGACGTTTTATTTCACAGATAGCATTTTGGTAGCGTCATTGAAAATCTCCAATTTAGGATGTTATTTGTCTTTTTCTTTCAGCACATCCATCATCTTGATACTATCTGAAGAAAAATCACTGACAAGATCATTTAAAACCTTAACACTACCTGCCCAATCTGTCAAAACTGCTTTGAAAGCTTGGGGGTACAGCAGAACCTTAGCAATAATAATTTATAAATGGCTGGCTCTTACCCCTATATAAGTCACTATGCAAGAAATTTGCTACCAAGCTTCTTATTGCCTGACCACATCAGCCTGGCTGTTTCTCAAATTTAAAAAGAAAAAGTAAATACACACCTACACCTTCGTACACCCAGACATGCGCACCCCTGTTCATGCTCAGCCTCAGCTTACGACAAATGTGCAACAAGAAAATCCAAATATGTTTTGAGTAATAATTAAATTATAATTATTTTTTAGATTTTTTTAATTTACTTATTTTTGGCGGAGGGAGAAAGAGAGGGAAAGAAACACCGATGTGTGCTTGCTTCTTGCACGCCCCCTCCTGGGAACCCGGCCCACACCCCGGCATATGCCCTCACTGGGTATCGAACCAGCGACCCTCTTCTTCACAGGCCAGCACTCAACCCACTGAGCCACACCAGCCAGGGCTCAATTGTAATTACTTACTGAGTCCTTGGCAGACTACTCTAGATACCTCAAATGCATTTTGAAGTTATTCCTCCCCATAACTCTGTGATAAGTATCATCATTTTACGCTGTTTTTATAAGCCATTCGTATCACTAGTTTACAGGTTGAGAAAGTTACTCAAAGTCAAACAGCTGTTAAGGGGTCAGGCTGGCAACCGACTGTTTTGAGAACCCAAGCCCGCCGCGTCTGATCCCAGAAAGACATTCTCTGACTCAACCACACAGCACTGCCTGCTCCCTGACAGCAGAAAAGGGAGCGTAAAACTGCCCTGGTCCCAGGCGCCACCGACACCTCAGAACGCCACAGCGACCCCAAGCCGGCCCAACCCCTTCCAGGGGTGTCTTTGTCAGCTGCTAAGTACAGCCAGCGGTCCCGCACCCACTCGTGCAAATCGAGCAAGCGTGTGCACACTGGCAAAACACGCCAGTGCTGCTGCAGGGCACAACGGTGAACGCCGGTAAGGCTTTCCAAGGAAAACCCTTGTTCTGTCGAAAGAGCCACCTAACGCACCCACTACCGCTTCCCGCTCAAACGGAGGCCACCGGAGGGCGGGGCGCGAGAAGGCGCCGCGGGGCGGCCGGGCCCGGCTGCCGGAGGCGGCGGGGACGGACCTCCGACTGGGCTCCCTCTGCCCGGGGCACCGCGGAAGGGGGACGCCTGCGGTGGGCGGGGAGCGAAGCCCTTCCGCGGACACCAGCCCAGGGAAGCGGAGGCCCCCAGAGGCGGCGCGCAGGGCCAAGGGGGCGGGCCCGGCACCCAGGGGCAGAAGCCCACGGGCTCCCCTAAGGGCCCACCCCGCGCTCCCAGGCCCGCCCCAGCATAGGGAGGGCCCAGCCGGCGGCGGAGAGTGCCGGCCGCCAGGGAGAAAAAGAGGCGGGAGGAGGAGGACTAGAGGTGTGTGGAGGCTGCAGGTACTCACCGACAGGCTCCGGCGTTCAGCCGAGCCCCTCCTCCGGGGCGCTGGGGTCACGAGCCTCAGCACCACGTCAGGAGCTGAGGGCCTTCAGGCAGACCGGCTCCAGAAGTTCGGAGCCGCCAGGAGGAGAAGCAGCGCAGGCGCTGGCGTCACCCGGGGCGAAACCAACGCACAGGGCGGGGAGAGACTCCACCAGAACGTACCAACTGTGGGAGGCAAGGGGCTCCCCTGCCCGTTTCCGGTCTCCGGCGTCCTGGGTACCCCACGGGTGTTCTCTCAGTGTTTGTTGGGTTTTATTATCTGCTATCCCTGAGGGAACCGAGGAGTAGCATAGAGCCCACCAAACACTGCAGCTGACCCTTCAGAGTTTTCTGTACTGTATCAAGCCTCCTCTGGACTTTTCTAGGCATGTATCTAAAGTTATACTGAACTTATATGTTCATATGACCACTTGAAAACTTTGGGAATGATAAGTGATAAAGTCTGATCATTCCAGGGGAAGGGGAAAATCTGGGAAACTCTTTGGGATGTCAGGTGAAGTGTAAAAGCAGAACAAGCCCTGGCCAGGTAGCGTTAGAGCATTGTCCCCATTCTGCAAAGGTTGCGGATTCGCGTTGGATCCCCAGTCAGGACACCTACAAGAAGCAACCAGTGAATGCTTGAATAATTAGAACAAATCGATGTTTCTCTCTCACACTCCTACTCTCTCTAAAAATAAATAAAATAAAACTGCAACAGCCACTTCTGGTGAAATTTATTTTTTTATGATCTTTAAGTAGGGTTTTATGTTTTTTGTTGGGGTTTTTTGGTGAAAATTGAAATGTGCAGGGTTTTTAAAAAGATTTTATTTATTTATCTTTACAGGGGAAGGGAAGGAGAGAGGGAGAGAAATATCAATGTATGGCTGCCTCTTGTGGGCCCCCTGCTGGGAACTGGCCTGCAACCCAGGCATGTAGCCTAACTGGGAATCGAACCACAATTCTTTGGTTAGCAGGCCCGCGCTCAATCCACTGAGCTACACCAGTCAGGGCAAAATGTGCGTTTTATGACCCACCAATTTCATGTCTAGAAAAATACAGGTGATTGCACAAAAAGACACGTTCATGTTCAAGCCTACTCCTGTGCAAAAAGTAGAAACAGCAGAAATGTCTGATATGACATAGATGATGTGATATGTTCCAAAAATAAAATATTAAAGCAAATAAAACTCAGTCATATAAGTAGCACCATTTGATAGCTCACGAGTTATTGAAATAGCGTCATGACAACAAATAATGGTACACACTAATTTAAAAATGCACAGAATGACAGTGTGTCTTGATTATAGAATATACATGTGTCTACAGAAAATGAACTAGCACCAACTGGTGTGGCTCAGTGGGTTGGGTGTCATATGCAAACTCAAGGGTCACAGGTTCGATTCCCAGCTAGGGCACATGCCTGGGCTGTGGATCAGTGCTCAAATTGGGGGTGTACAAGAGGCAACCAATCTATGTTTCTCCTGCACATTGATGTTTCTCTCCCTCTCTCTCCCTCTCCCCTCCCCTCCACTATCTCTAAAAATAAATATATCTTTTAAAAATTAAAAATTAAAAAATGGAACTAGATGGATAGATGAACACATATTATGATAATGATATGAGGTGAGGAGAAGGGAGGGCTGGAAGCCAGGATGGATGGGGAGAGGGAACAAACAGGACTTCAGATCTGTCATAATTTCTTTTTAAAAAAGAAACCTAAAAATTAACATAACAAAATATTAAAAATTTGATAGTGGCACTTAACTATACATTATTCTCAGTACTTTTTTGTAACATTTGGTTCTAGAATGCCCTTTTCCTATCTCCCCAAGTCACCTTCTTCCAACTGACCCTCCAAAGTCCAGCTAAACCACTTCATTTGCCTCATCTAACTCCAGTTCATTTCTCCTGCTTGCTTCCTCAGCTTCTGGGACATTCAATCACCCATCATATAGTGCAGCTATTGGCTGTATGTGTCTATCCCTTCTGTGGCACTTGTTAGCTTTCTGAAGCCACGATCCATGTAACACTAGCAAGTAGCAAAGAGCATGGCCAAAAGCAAATAGTACATTTTTATTGAATTGAATTGTGAAGAAGAGAAATTAGAAAAGGTTTCAATGCAGGGCCAGAAAGGTCCTTTGGCCTTACCTCCAAGAACAACAGTGACACAGTTGTTGTTAGCAGCCGTCTGGCAACACTGAGGGGAACCAGCATGAGGCAGGCAGTCTCTAAGGTGGCCCCCAATTGTGACGGAGTGAAATGCTCAGTCTCTGTGACTTTGTCTTAATTCTAGCCTTCATCTTTCCCATGGCCTTCAGGCCTTCAGGCAAACAGCTCTTGAGATAGATATAGACAGATGATATAGATATAGATATAGATATAGATGTAGATATAGATGTAGATGTATAGATGATATAGATATAGATATAGATAGATATAGATATAGATATAGATATAGATAGATATAGATATAGATATAGATATAGATATAGATATAGATATAGATATAGATATAGATATAGATAGATATCTCAATGATTAACATACCTATATGGAATTCTACTAGAAAATTGAGTTTTCAGAAGAACAGCTCCTTGCCAAAAAGGTACCTCTGCTGAAAAGGTGACTCAGATCAGCAGGGGCCAAGAGACCCAGACCAGGAACAAACAGATTTCAAGATTTCTCACTCTTCCTCAGATTCCGGCTGGTGCCCAGATGTCTAGGTCATCAATCACCTCCTTCCCATCTTTTTTTCCCTTCTTTTGACATAAAAGGATCCTGAATTCTGGACTCTCTGGGGATGGATTTGAGGAGCTGTAAGTGCCCCCATCTTCTCAAGCAGGCATCTTCCCCATCAGTAAACATTTCATTATTCCAAACTCTGTTTTTAATGTTGGCCTTTTGAAGCATCCAGCACACAGACTTTAACTGGTAAGAAACACTATCACCCAGCCTCCTGGCAGTCACACTCTTGTGAAATCTCGTCCCTCCCCTTGAGGTAGGATACACTTAATAACTCACTTTTTAAAAAATATAATAAGGCAGAGTGATGGTATGTCATTTCCAAACCTAGGTTATAAAAAGACTGTGGCTTCCTTCCTGGGCACTCTCCACCTCTGGATTTGCTCAATTTGAGGGACTCCAAATGCCATGTCATAAGGCAATTGTGTGGAGAGACCCACCTGTTGGAAAGGATTCTCCCCCATACTCTGCCCACCCCGTCTCACAGCTTAACCACAACCTCATAAGGAACTTTAAGTCAAGGGCACCTTTGGGCTGAGTCATGCCGATTCCTGACCCACAAAAACTGTGTTTATGTTTTCAGCCTCTAATTTTGGGGGTAATTTGTTACATAACAAAATAACTATAGCTTATTAGTTATAACTATAACTATATAGCTTAGAAAATTAAAAATTTTAAAAAAAACAGAAAATAGTAGGGTGATACCTCTGATCATATATATGGGTATATATATACATGGAGATCATTCCACTTCTGGTCTTTCTGTAATACGAGATAATAAATATCTTTAATATATACATCACTATGCAACAAATTTATGTTACAGTAGACAACATCCTACTCCATATAAATCTGAATGTCCATCAGTATAGAAATGATTTATTACATAGGATGGCATAGTCATGTACTAGAATAACGGAACAATTAAAAGAAATTAACAAGAGGACTTCCGCCAAGATGGAGGCATAGGTGGATGTGCCGTGCCTTCTCACACAACCAAGTTTAGAGACAACTAAATATTAGCAAGAGAAAACACAGCCAGAACACAGAAAATTGAACTTTTCGGAAGTCTGATAACAACAAATTCTTCAGCCTGACCGGTAAGGGGTGAAACCAGCGGCTGGTAGAGCAGGATTGCACAGGAAAACTCGGTCAGACGGACTCGGGCGCGCGGAATCCAGGCTCAGGGTTGGACCTAGTGAGCGACCGAGCGAGCAACCAAGAGAGCAACCGCGGGGGAGACAGCAAGGGAGCAGGGCTGCGTGTTGACAGTGGTCACGCATTTGTGCACGGATAGACAAGTGAGGGAGTGGGCGATTGGACCAGAACCCAGCGGGTCCCCACAGCAGGCGGCAGGGAGGGCGCCGCCATTTCCCTGCTCTGACCCCACCTCCACATACAGTGTCATAATCCAGCAACTCTGAGTGGCCCCGCCCTGGTGAACCACCTAAGGCGCTGCTCCTCACACAGCATCGCGAAACAGGAGAGGGGGTCGCCATTTCCCCGCTCTGACCACGCCCCCACATAAGCGTCAAAACCCAGCGACCTGGGAGTCCAAGGCACCGCTTCTCACACTTAAAGGGCACGAACAGACCAAAAATGGCTCAAGAAGATCTCAAAGCCCCAGAGCCCATAGATCTAAGCCATGAAGAAATAGCAAAACTCTCAGACGCACAGTTTAAAACACTGGTCATCAGGATCCTCACAGAACTGCTTGATTATACCCACAAATTAGACAAATATATGAAGGCGAAACTAATTGAAATGAATGGAAGTGCACAGGAAACCAATAGCGATGAAAAGGAAACTGGGACTCAAATCAATGGAGTGGACCAGAAGAAAGCAAATGATGGCCAAACAGAAAAGAGTCAAGAAGCAAGAATTCAAAGAAATGAGGAGAGTCTTAGGAACCTCCAGGACATCTTTAAACGCTCCAACATCCAAATTATAGGGGTACCAGAAGGGGGAAAGGCACAGCCACCAGTGGAAAACTGATTTGAACAAATAATAAAGGAGAATTTCCCCAATCTGGCAAAGGAAATAGACTTCCAGGAAATCCAGGAAGCTCAGAGAGTCCCAAAGAAGTTGGACCCAAGAAGGAACACACCAAGGCACATCATCATTACGTTAACCAAAATTAAAATGAAGGAGAGAATCCTAGAAGCAGCAAGAGCTAAGGGGACAGTCACCTACAAAGGAGTCCCCATCAGAATGTCAGCTGATTTCTCAAAAGAGACCTTACAGGCAAGAAGAGGCTGGAAAGAAGTATTCCAAGTCATGAAATCCAAAGACCTACAACCAAGATTGCTCCATCCGGCAAAGCTTTCATTTAGAATAGAAGGGCAGATAAAGTGCTTCTCAGGTAAGGTCAAGTTCAAGGA